AGCAGGAATCTCAGTGTAAGCTTCCAAGGATTAAACTCTTGCTTTGGGCCGATTTTCTCAATACTGGTGAGCAAAGGCAAGCACAGCTAACAGGTGTGGGAGCTCTCTGGTACCTGGGTGAAACCCCTGAGATCTAACGTGCTTTTCTCTTCTCCGCAGGCAGAGGAGGGCTTCAAAACTGCACGTTTCATACTGCCACCAGCAAAGGTAAAGGGGAAAAACCCCTCTCTCCACTCACTGTCCTGGCCTGTGTATTTCCCTAGGGATGGCTGCTTGCTAGAAACACGCTGTTTTCCAGATGTAACCTCACGGTTGGGTGTTGGGAGGGTGATTTCCCAGGCTGTCCCCATGGGGTGCGCCTGACAGGTACATCCTCAGTCTGAGGAGAACCTCCTTTGGCTCATCACCTGGACGTGACTGTCCTGAAGCCCATGGAGATCATTCATCCTGTGGTTATAAAGAATCTGAGTCCCCCCAAAACACAGTTGGGGATTTAGTGGCTGCTGCCATGAGCAGATGGAAAGGGACAGAAAGGTAAATAGTTGCAGGAAACTCTTGCAACACGCTGCTGCCACCCCAAGCCCATGCAACCTCGCCCTGAGCGGTGATGCTCTAGCAGGGGAAAACCAAACCTTGCTTGAGCGCTCAGACAACATGAGGCTCCCCCAGCACTGTGTCTAGATGCTGGAGGTGCCCACACTTCACTATGCAGGTGGTTTCTCCGTGGGTCCTCTCTCTGCCCCTGTTTGCTGGCTGCTAAACAGACAGACTTCGCTAAAATTGGTTTGCAGCACAGTTGGGGCCAGCCCAGCCATGGGAAACTGCATCCTATTCCCTGCGAGCAGTGATTTCTGTCTCAAACCCTCAGCGCTGTGACACCCCTGTCCTGCCAGGCAAATAAGAAAAGGGGACAACACCCCCCACCCCCGCCTCCAAACCACACATACCTGGATCGAGAAGTTGCTTCCCTAAGTGGATGCACAGGAGAGGAGGGCTTGAGCTGAACCTGCCCTTGATTTAGGCAGATTTTTGACCCCACCACATGCCATCCCACATGGACCTTGATGGCCACAGATGTGCTCTCAGGCTGTCAGCCTTTCTGGGAAGCCTCCATGGGTAGCATTCTCCAGGGGCACATTTGTTGGCAGAGTCCTTGGGTAATGAGCACTTTTGATGCCCGAACACTTTGAGGCAACCTGATTTTGATGAGCCGGACGTGGGTTGGAGTCAGCATGCTCTGAAATCACTGGGAGCCTTTCTGCTGACTTCAAAGGACTTTATCAGGGCCCTTGCTTCTCTCCTCATATCTAGAAGACCAAAGAAAGACCTTGGGATGTCCTCCAGCAACGAAGGACTTTGGTCAATGTCCTAAACCGATGCCTCAGAGCTTCTCTCCATAACCAGCAATGTGTCCCAGTGCGAATCCTGTTTGGAGTGGGCCACCCATGTATGTGGGAGCCACATTGCATCAGGCACGGGGCAACACTGGTGTTGTTCTGTGCTTCTGCTATGGCTTGAGGAAACTAAGAACACGCAGAGCAAACCCTCCCCTCCACCCGCTCCAGCTCTCCCTTCTTCTGTTGCAGATATCACGGCTGCCGCCCTGGCAACAGGCGCCTGTATCGTGGGCATCCTCTGCCTGCCCCTCATCTTACTCCTGATTTACAAGCAAAGACAAGCAGTCAGCAGCAGACGTATGTACCCTCCCCTTGCCAGCTGCTGGTGGGGACACCCATCTCATCTCCTGGGCTGTGTCAGTATGACCTTTACAGGATGGGATATGTCCCACAGGGGTCAGCTGGTTTGGCTGCCCTGAGTCCCATGGACACCGTGTAATGTGGCCCAAAGACAAGTCCCTGCCAGGTGGCTCCTGCAAAGCTGTCCTGGTAAGGGTTGGCACGCCTGCAGCCTGCCAGCAAGCAGTGTGGGGTAGGAAGGGAACCGGTGATGCCTGCAAGGCACCCCAGGAGCATGCCGGGGACACTGAGACTGCAAAGATGCTGCCAGGCCCCCTCCCCGCTGAGCCCTTTCCTCCCCATCCACTGCGAGAGCTGGCTCTTACTCATTCCTCTCTCTACCCCACAGCTGAAATAGAAGTTTTGCCTTCTAAGTGCTTGAAAAAGCATTATTTGTGCTTTTTCTCCCCTGCTCTTTAAAAAGACCCCTTACATGTCTATGGCAATAGGACTGCAGCAAGCCAGCTCTCCCCGCACTGCCCCAGCTCTAGAAAACCAGTCAGCGCCGAGGTGGAGCCGTTGCCAGCTCCTGCCCATGTCTGGCGCTCAGTGATTTCAGTAATTAAGCAGAAAGGGGCACCACCTTGACCAGCAGAGCCATTTCATCAGGCCTTGGGCAAGCCGGGGGCCCTGTGGTTTCTCTCACCAAGCTCGGTGGGCAGCTGTGCGGCTCTGAGTAAACCCTTTGGAGAAGTGGTTTCTGCAGCAACAGCGGGCACAGTGCCAGCCACGAGAATGGGAACCGCGCTTTTGACATCTGTCCCTGGCCGAAAAGACTAGCCATGTGCCTTCATACACCATTATGCTATGGCTGGGGTGTAATGCCCTGCCCCGTGCTGCAAAGCATCACCTGGATGCTATGTAACCCAAGAGGAAAGGCAAAACCCAGGGGGATTTCCTTCTGGGGAGTCTCGGACCAGGTTAGCTACAGGTTATTTCCACCAAATGCTTTCCATCAGCACAGTCTGGGCCAAAACTCGTGTGTCTTGGCTCAGGATATTCGCCATGCAGTCATCCAGCACATCGGAGTAACATGGGCTATGGGATCTGCTGTGTCTGCAGCAAATGGGGATGAGGAAATAAATAACAGGGTGCTGCCCAGGCAAACACAAGGGCAGCCAAATGCCAGGGCGGCATTTTGCAGAGCCCTGGAAGGATGCCACAGGTGGATGGTGGGTGCATCGAGGCATGAGTGGAGCCAGGCTGCAGCCCAAGAACCGAAGCTGCACTTTACCTCACCCCACGCTGGCAGAAGTGCCTCCTTCCGCCTTCTTCAGAGTCTGTGGTTTCAATCCAGGAGGAGACTGGGTTGGGGAGTGAACAAGGTGCGAGATGGTAGGGATATGGAGAAGGAGGTTTGGGAGCAAAGAAGAGGCTGATGCTAAAGAAGAGAGAGAGGGAGGGAGGAATGCAGATCAAGAGAAGCAATTGGATGTGGATGAGACACCAGAAAACAGTGCTGGCAATGGGTCTTGGTTTGACACTGGGCTTCATGCTGCCAGCACTCACGCCAACCATTTTGTCTTTGGCAGGTGCCCATGAGCTTGTCAGGATGGAGAGGTGAGGAAACCCATGTGCTTCCAGCTCCCCTCAACCTCCTCACACCCTCTCTGCCTGCATCCTCGACCCTGCAAGGGTCTTGTCCTCTCCTCCCCTCCTCTTGAAGCTGGCATGTATCCTCAGCCTGACAGAGCAAAGTGGAAGATGGTGTCACCCATGTCTAGGGTCCTGTCCCTTTCCAGGCAGCCACTGTTTCTCTTCCCTCCCTCTAAGTGGGAAGTACCTCCTTTCTTTTTGCCTATGCCAAGGGTACACATCACCCCATGGCCAAAGAGAGCACAAAACCACGGTGCCTTTCGGCTCAGCTTTCCCCCTGCACTGGGCTTCCCACTTGCTCTCAGCCAAGGTGCCACCACCTGAACCTGCTCCCTGCCCTGCTCGGTTGTTCCCAACACTCAAGCAAAACCTCAGGGATAAAAAAAGCTCCTGAAATAAAAATGCAAATCCCCACCCCTCACACCCTCTCCTCTCCTCCAGCAGCGCCCAGGGCATCGAAAACCCAGTCTTCGAGGCAGTCCCCTCGGCAAGCGCAGAGCTGCGGCCCCGACCCCAGCTCTCCTACATGGCCAGCCGACAGCCCTCCGAATCCGGACGGCACCTGCTTTCTGAGCCCGGCACCCCCCTGTCCCCCCCTGGCCCTGGGGACTGCTTCTTTCCAACGCTGGGTGAGTGACAGGCAATGCTGAGCCCCCATGGGGATCACTGCAGGAAGTGTGGGAAGGAAAGGGAGGTTGAATGGGAAAGGGGTGTGTGTGTAAATATCAGCTGCAAACTTTGCGTTATGTGGGACACCAAATCCCAGGGCTTCAAAGATGGAAAGGACCCAAAACCTCTGTTTTCCATGCAAAAGCAGAGTTTGGCCACTTCCCAGAGCATGTCCTTGCAGCTGCAAGCTGGACTGATACCCCTGATCTGCCCTTTTCCAGATCCTGTTCCTGACTCACCGAATTCCTTGAAAGCCTAAAGACCCCAGAGGAAACCACATCCCCCAGCCTCAGCCAGGAGAGGCCAGGTGGCCTCCATGCCATGCCTGCCCAGCCGAGATCCCTGGGAGGGCAGCATGGCCATGGGCATCAAAGCCTTAAAAGATGAAGCTGAGTGCCAGAGCCCTGCCTTTTCCTTCTGTCCTGGCTCTGCCCTGGGTCTGGAATTGAACCTTTCTTGCCTGGATTTCAGTTTTTAACTACCTATTTCTATGGAGAACAGCACAGCTCTGTACTGCTCATGTTTCATGGACGAGCTGAAAACTTGGGATGCAGGGAAGGAAGGATGACCTGCACCTGCAAACCTCCCTGAGGATTTAACTTATTACCAGGGGTTTAAGCTCTGCAATATCAACCTGTTTCTGCAGCTTTGACTGAACATCCTCTCTGGGAGCAGATGGTAAAGTACTTTATCCACCGTGAAACAAAACAGGGTCATGGGCCAAGCTTGTACTACCTTCTTTGCAAAACAGGAAGGGGAGAGGCTCCCTACCACTAACAGAGCCCTCCTTCCCCACCAGCATTCTGAGACAGCCATGGACTTGCAAGGCTGACGTCTTTTCATCTGGACACATGTCAGGAGGAGCCTTATTTCTGCTGAGATTTTAGCCTTGGCTTGGGATTAGGGGAATTTGTCTTTCTGTTTGTTTTATTATCAGTACTGATTAAAGAAAAAAGGGATGGGTTTTGGTTTTGTTTTGTTTTTTGGTTTGTTGTTTGGTTTGGGTTTTTTTTTAAATGCCCGTAAACGCATTGTACATGCCTGTAAATGTAAACATCTGGAGGGTGTTGGAGGATATTCCCGTGACGTGGCTGAGAGGGCCCACAGAGAGGTGGAGGCATGGGAGCACGCAGCAGGTGGTGGGAAATGCTCCGGCTGACTTCCCCACATCCTCCTGGAATCAGCACGGCCAGAGCAGCTGTCCCTGGAGCCAGTGCCTTCAGCCACACCACAGGACCCTGGGATGCAAGTGCCCTCACAGCCTCCTCTGTCCGAACACAGCACCCAGGCATCACTTATCCAAAAGAAGCCATGGATCAGGCTCCAGCATGACTCAGCCTCCAGTGAAGAGATAAAACTTTGTGGTAGACACTGTTACTGGAAGCATGCATTTGTTTTTTTTTCTCTTGCTTCTGTTTTTGTTGTAAAGTGGGGGAAAAATTGCCACTAGACAAACATAAACATTAGTCATACCAAAACAGTGTCAGACCTGAGCAACAGCCATACCAGGCAGTGTGCCTGGGCAGAGCATCCCCAGCAGCATGCTGAATTTTCATGCCACATGACTGGAAGAAAACAGCGTTTGCCTCTGCAAAGGGCTGGGGACACCCTGGCCCACAGAAGGATTTGATTAATCTGGCATTGGCTTCAGCAAAATCAACTTCAAATGGTCCGGCTGCAGGCAGAGGGATAAAGGAGAAGCCAGCACCAACACCCCCACTGTGGACATAACTTCCTGAGCATGGGACTTGTGCTTTATTGCCACCCATGGCTCAGCGCCTTTCCTGGCTTTGCTGGGGAAGCTTGCCCAGTGCCTCCAGCGCTTCCCTCTCCCTGTCCCAGCAGCTGCAGCCAGAAAGGCATGTGGGGGATTTGCCTGCCTGCAGGTCCTAACCGCTTTGAAACCCTCTCTGAGTCCCTCTGTTTGCTAATGAATGGACTGTTTGATGACAGAACAAAGCTTTGTTGGAAACAGGTTTCTTTCTGTGCTGCAGAAATCCCATTTTTCAGGATGCCCTGTACTGCAGGCAGGTGCAGTGGGCAGGCAGAAGAGTGATGAGTTGAGCAGCCACGTTCTCTGCCAAAGGCACTGCGTGGTATCAGGGACCATTTCCCACCTGGAAAGCTCACCAGAAGGAAAATGAAAGACCTCTGGGGAAAGAGGCGTTGGCTACCCATCCTTCCACATGTGCAGAAGCCTTGGCGTGCTGGGTGCTGGGACCCCACCTTGGCCTCCACCACTAGTGGAGAAGACGGCACAGTGCTGCACCTTCGAACGGGATGCTTATGGCAAAGATGACTCAGCAAGATGCTCATGCCCTCACAGACCTTGCCAGGTCCCACTAGCTCTTGCAAGAGCTGGCTTGGGAATGCACACCAAGCTGGTGCCCTGCTGCTGGCTGTTTTCCACTGCATCAGCACTTGGGGCTTTGCTGATGAGAGAGTGAGGAGCTGCGGTGCTTCACCTGAACTCTTGTTTCAAAGCAGGCGGATGGGAACAGAAACTGCAGAGGCTGAAGCAGCCCTGGTTGGGGCTGGCTGCGAGATAGACGTCTGGGCAGCGAGGAGCGGCTGCCTCGCTGCAGCTGCTGGTGCCTGGGTCTGCAGGTACCAGGATGAGCCCTGCTCTGACATATGTGGGTGCCTCAGCTCCCTTGGGCTGGGATCCTTCCTTCTGCTTTGGGAAGCATCTCAAAGACTCCGGAGCAGGGCCAGCCCTTGGGGAGGTGCAGCTGCAGGTTTGCACCTGGGTCAGACAGAGCTCATATGACTCCTGCAATTCCCATGCAGGGACTTTCCAGTTGCACTCACTAGCTTGTGAAGCTTTTCTTTCCTGTAATGCTTTTTGGGATAAATGCTTTCCTTTTGTCATCAGCAGTTTACCCTTTTGCCCTTTCATTTCCAGCTCCCCGTCTTCCATGCACCCTTGCTGTCTGGGTATCACAGATCACCATGGGACTTCCAAGTAATCTCCCAGCTCTGTCTCCCCCATACTCAGAAGGCCAAATCTTGAAGCACATGGAGGGAGGTACAAATTACAAACAATAATCCCCTTTTGTGCATCATTGCAACGGCCTAGACTTACTTGTGAAACCAAAGATCCTAGCAGGTGACAAACCCCCAACAGACATCATCACCCAGGCATGAGGCCAGCAGTCACCAAGCGACATGCAGGCCAGCCTTTCACAAGACCTTAGCGTCCTCAAGCTCCAAAAAGGGCTGAAATTCTTCTCTCCGCTCAGGAATTGGGTCACTGGATGCTTTGTTCTGCTTCAATGTGGCGGGATTTTGATCATCGCTGCTGGCATAACTTGTGCCAGTGATGTGGTAGTCACACAGCAGAAACCCTGAGGACAAGCGACGCTGCTGGGACACTGCTTTGGCAGCATGAAGTGATAAGCTGTGTCACCTGTCGTCTCTGGCACTGGGAAGGGAAGAGGGCATTACCACGTCAATGGGATTTGCTGGCTTGGCACACTTGGCATTCCTTGCCATGGCAGCATCAGTGATGCCCCCAGGGTGCTGGGGCGATGGGGACAAGGAGGCTGTTGGTATTGAGTGCTGCAGTTACCCAAAGCTACATTCTCTCATTTTGAGGAAGAGACTTACCTAGATTTAAGCCACAGTGGCAGCACGGCTTAAGAAAAAGATGGTGATGCACAAGCAGGCGTGTGAACTACCTGGGAGGAAGGAGTTGAGAGTGCAACGCCTAAAGCGAGAGGTGGAAGCCACAGTTTGCAGTATTGGTTGCAACCTGTTTCCTCAAAATGTAAAGCAGGGCTTTGCAGTGAGAGCTCTGCTGAGAGATCAGAGAGATGGCGAGATAGCAGGTAGAAGTGGGGGAGAGGAAGGATGGCAGGGTGTCACACAGGGTGTCATGCCTCTTTGTCTCACTTTTGGGCTTGCTTTGTGCACACAGGCACATACTCAGCTCTCTGCAAAACCATGGGGTTAGGAGGGACTCGGGGCTGGAAAATGCCCCAAATGTTATTTGCTCTTTTAACTCTCCCATGTCAGAGTCCTCCTTAGAGGCACAAATAACAAGAGTTGTTATTTGTGGAGAGGGGAAGGTACAAGAGAGAGAAGCCAGTCTGTGGCACCAGGCACCAGTTACCCACCAGGCACTCCTGCATGCTGGTAGTCAAAAAGCAAGGTGGCCACCTCCCCAGACTGAAGGATGATGGACGGGGTCTCATATCATCTGCCCAACACATGCCCAGACCCCACTCATCACAAGCAGGGCACTCTGGATGGCAGCAACAAGACTAAAGAGCTGCCCACATCTTGCATGGAGGGGACTGCAGTGGCTATAGTGGTAATTATCGCCTCATTTGCAAGCACCAGAGCAGATGCTCATCGGTCCACAGTGAGCTGATCCATGGTTCAGCTGCTGCTCCCGCCACTGCCTGCCCTGGGATGGGTAAGCAATATCCTGAGACCTTTCAGACTCAAGAGTGTGAGGAACTGGTGGGCAGGGCAACTCCTGCAGCTGCCAGAACGCTTGCCTGTTGGGATGCTCTTGATATTTTTGGCGTTTAGAGATGGGAGATGGCAGCTCCCTGAACGACTGCAAGAGAGGGTCCCGCAGGACCAGATGCTGAAGAAGGCTCTGAATCAAACCTGTTCTCAGCAGATTTGGACCCTAAGTCATAACTCAAATGGCTGGGTCACCAAAACATCACGCCCTGTGCCTGTTCCCTGCGCTTTCATGCTCAATGTCTCAGTGCTAAGCTCGCTTCCTCAGTGCTGCCCAGCTCCATCCTCTCCCCAAAAGCATGTTTGGTGGCTCACCGACAGGGAAGGGTTGCCCTCGTCCTCGACAGTGACCACCAGGCTGTAGAAGCTCTGCCGCTCGCGGTCTGGCGGGGAAGGCCGGGTGGCAATCTCACCGGTGACACGGTCCATGCGGAAGGTCAGGTCCTCATTCCCACGGGTGATGTAGTAGGAGAGGATGCTGTTGAGGCCGACATCCTGGTCGGTGGCATGTACATGGGCCACTGCTGTGCCACCACCAACATTCTGCAGGGTGAGATGGTGGGGTGAGTGGCAGAGATACACAACATAAATCACAAGCACCTCGTAACATGTGAAATACATAATTAATAATGTAATTCTCATATAGAGAGGGATTTTTTCCAGACATTGGGGTGCTTGAGGCTCCAGACTCGCTGCCCCAACACCTAGCAGCCAAGCAGAAGGCTGCTCTACTTCATGAGCTCCTGGATGCTGTTTTTGCAGTGCTTACTGCAAACAATGTTTTATTAATAGATGCGTCTTCATGCAAAAAATTAACAAAAGCTACTTGCTCTGCCACTGATAGCTCAGCTGAGAATCAGCCACAGGCTTACCAATGGAAGGCTCTGCCCTTTGCTTAAGTGCTCCAATCTTTTTCAGTTTGAAACTCTGAAATTACATGTATTTTCTACATTAGCTTTTAAAAAGAAATGGAATAAAATTAACAGGTGACATTTGCTGTTAAGTCATCAAAGCCAGCTGCTGCTGCACATCAAAATTGCACCTCTTTTTCTTTATGTTACAGCATCTCCCATTTGTTGCCATGAACCAGTTTGACTCCCTGCCATGGAAAGCTGCACATTAGGTCCTATCTAGGCTGGCACAGCCTGGAATAGTGTGAAAACCAGTGTGTGCGCGAAGGTGAAGGCTGTGTAATGGACTCAGAGCTTGGCTAATTATTTTTGGATAGTCCCATTACAGAGGAAATAAAAACAGATATTCTGTTCTTCAGCCAGCTCTGAGCGTGTATTAAATAGATAAGAAAATCCTAACAGGGCAATAACTTTAATGCAAAGCTATTAATCATGAGCAGCACTTTCTCACAGCTAAGTGTCACTGGCTATTACTCGTATTTCATTTTTCATCAGCAAATTGAGAACCCCCCAGTCCAGGAATTAAACTGTCAGGAAATAAGTTGTCTTTTCTCATGCCTGATCGTGTTTTATTGCTTCATTATCTAGCTCTTGCTGAGCTGCTTCCTGAAAGCAATTCCTATTCTGCACTGTGCCGCCTCTTGTGTCACTTTGGTGGCATTTCCATGGGCGTGTAGCCACTTCTCCTTTCTGCTGGTTCCTGCAGCCTCATGGGCTTTAGTTGCCTGCAGAGCTCTCTCCTAGCCCAAACCTAGGCGGCCATCACAGGTGAGGGATTGCAAGTGGCCACCAACCCTTAAATTACCCAATGTGAGGTTTTCAAGGGGCCACCAACTCTTAAGTCACCCAAGGTGAGGTCTGACCACCTGCTTTGTGGTCAGACCTCACCTTGGGAGGATGGAAGAAGAGCAGGGCTGGATGCTTACCTCGCTCACGCTCACATTGTAGCTGAAAGGGCTGTCGATGATGGGGGGGTTGTCATTGACATCGAGGATGTTCACTCGCAGAGTGTGTTCCTTCCTCCGGGGAGGCACGCCGCCATCTGAGGCTTGGATCTGCAGTTGGGGATGGATTTTCAGAAAAATGCTATTTTTAAGCTCACAGCCCCAAGAAAACAGCCTTGATGCTCAAACAAGACGAAGCCCAAGGAGGTAAGTGGGGTGGATTGGTGCTTACCCGTAAGGTGTAGTGATCCAGCAGCTCTCGGTCCAGTGGCTGTGCCACAAACACCTCACCGTAGGTGGTGTTGGTGGTATGGATCTCGAAAGCCCAGCCGATGTTCCCTGACGTCAGTGAGAAAGTCACCTGGGAAATGTCATGGGGAAAGAAAAACAGGGCAGGCAATGTGATGCCGTGAGGAGGAAGAAGAGAAAGGAGACCCTACAATAAACCCAGCATCACCTAGGAAAGTCACTGGGCATTTTAAAAGGTCCAATGTGTCCGGGTCCATGAGTGTGCAGCCATCCCAAAGCGAACACCCATGGGCCAACCCTGGCCTCATCCACAGACCTCCTATGATGCTAGCAATTTTTGGTATTAAGGGTGATGTGACCTCGTTAACACCTGTCTGCGTGGTAAAGAAAATAACAAATGTCAGAGAGCTTCCTGCTCAGCCCACCAAGAGCTTTGCTGCCGCTCCCCACAGTGGGAGAGGCTGCAGCTGGTTTTCAGATTGCTGGGCTCTTTTTGACACATGTCCCACAGAGCTCTTTGCCCTGGACAGCCCAAAGACAATGTTTTTCCTCTCCTGCTGCATGCCTCGACCAGGGAGCACTGTCACCCACTGCACAAAGAGCCCCAAAACTGCTGGCACCGATGACCAGAGTTGCTCTCGCAGGGATGCAGAGGAGGGGCGGGGGTTGGAAAGATGCTGAAGGTGGCATTTCTGCAGCAGTGAAACGCTGCCACAGCCTTATGGGTAGCCCCCAAACCTGCTGCGTGGGCCTCCCTACCTGCCCATTGCTGCCTGCGTCCGGGTCACGGGCCAGGACCACGGCCACCCGCTTGCCAACAGCACTGTCCTCCGCCACACTCACGGAGGAGTCGGAGGTGATGTCGAACTGGGGGCTGTTGTCGTTCTCATCCAGAACTGTGATGGTCACCTGTGGGCATGGCATGGGACTCAGACAGGACACAGGCAGGAGCCGGCCCTCTGCCCACCCAGCATCAGCAGCCACACTGACATCCCTTGACAAACTCTTGACCTGCTGCAGCCCCTCTGAGGTGCCAGCAGCGTGAGTGTTGTCCATCCCACGCGGGAATATGGGTGCAGGTAGCTGAGCCCAGGAGCTGAAGCTACATCCCTATCTGTAGAGAAGGAATGCGTAGAGGCTGGAGAAAGAGCGCAAGGGTGCTGCAGCTCTCAAGTAGTGGGTTTTTCTATGGAGCACCCTCTGGTTTTTTATCCTCCAAATAACTGGGCATGGAGGAACTCACGCTGCTGCAGGGTGACCCTTTCCTGCTAAGCTTTGTGCAAGCAGCAATTTAAACTGTGCTCACAGCACCAGAGGTTGGGCAGGGTTTGCTTTAAAGCTGAACGGGCACAAAGAAGACAGAGCTTCATGTATTTAACTAAACCAGGGCAAGCTGGGCATAGAGTAGACCTGATCTCCCTCCTGGGAAAAGGCACGTGGGCTAGTCAGAGACCAGGCAGGAGATGCTCGGAGGGGCACTCCATGGCAGGCAACCAAGGACCAGGCTACCTTGGCCACAATTAGCCAGAGGAAATGCTCTCATCGCGTCTGTAATCAAAGAGCTGCAACATGACAGAAATGAGAGGGGAAGAGCCTTTCTGTTACCGGGGTTCTATTTATGGGTGACCTGAGCCCCCAGGTGCAGCCAGGCTGAATGTGACAACATCTCAGAGGAAGCCAGGGAGCAAGTTGAGCACCTTGGGGCGATTTGGTCATTGTTGCTTGCTGAATTAAAAACAGAGAGCCAGGAGCAGGGAGAGCCCATTCAGCTGCTGTGATGGATCCAGCAGCTGCAGTCCCAAGTGCCAGATCAGGGTGTTGGGTTTTCTGGTGGCGTGTCACAGAGGCTGGTGCTGCTGGGACAGGGCTGGAGACCTCTGCCCCTCCCTGCAGCTCAGTGCGGAGTTCAAGATGGATCCTAGCCCCCAAGATGATGCTAGCATGATGGACACGCTTACCTTCTGTTGGATGAGAGCAGAGGGGAAAACAGAGAAAACAAAGAACGAAGAGTTAGTGGGGGATGAGGAGGTGCGGGTACACATGAGGGGCAGTGGGCTAGCCCTGCATTCCACCATAGCAGTGTTGGGGGCTGTGGGTACACCTCTGTGGTGATTTGGAGGCTCCTCTGTTGGTGCTTCCCTTTGTTTTTTCTAGATAAGCTCGGTGGATTTGCCCCTTGCCCTGGGAGAGGCTCAGACAAGAGCACAGCAGTGGGCGAGGAGGAGAGCCACAGGCACCCATGGGTGGGGAAAAGCAGCGCTTGCACGTTTGCTGCTGTTGCCATCTAGCATCCTTTCTAGGGGCAACAGATGCATGAAGACATGAGAGCACTCAAAATGCAGAGCGCTGCCCATTGCTGCAGGCCAGCCTCCAGTTTCAAACCCCCACCTGGGGCCCCATTCCTCCAGCTGACCCAAACCAGCAGAACTTGGGTAGTGCCAGCTGAGCTGCCCCTGCCCGCAGCACGGGGACCAGGTTCGTCCTGCACTCGGCATGCCTCCTGCCCCAGTAGAGAAATGCAAATCACCCCCCTGCTCGGCTGCCTTTGAAACTGCCAAATATAACCCTCCTAAACATAAACCACTGTGAAGTATTTCAAGGCCCCCAAATTTACCTCCCTCAAAACTCTCCCTCAAAAATGGTTTAGCTTGGTAAGCAACCTGCAAACTCTACAGTTTGGGGTGTTTCTTTTTTTTTGTTGTTATGAGAAATCCCACCCCATGACATGCAGAAGCTAAAAGGCACTGGTCCATGGTTATGCAAACACAGGGTTTCCCCCAAATCAGGGTTTCCAGACCCCGGTGGTGGAGCAGAGAGGACAACTAAGACATGCTGTCCCATGCCAGAGGAAGAGGGAGGTGACCTGAGGTCAGCTCTGCCAGCACAGAGGTTGGTGGAGAAGTGGGTAGAAGCTACTCACCACTGTGGAGTCAATCTTTGGTCCTCCATCATCGGCCACCACTGTCAGGGTGTAGAAATCCCCTTTCTCTCGATCCACCTGGCCTTTGACTGTGATCACACCCTGTCAAGAATGAACAACGGCCGTGTTGGCCACCAACACTTTGTCGGACAAGCAAGCCAGAAGGGAACCACATTGTAGCTACTTACAGTGATCCCGTTGATTTTGAAGAGGGAGAGTGCCTGGGCGTTGGTGTTGGGGTCAAACTTGTAGGTGATCTGGTTGAGGTTGTCGATGGAGCGGGCCTGGACCCGGAGCACCTCGGAGCCCAAGGGTATGTTCTCCACGATCACAGCCTCGTAGCTGCTGTTGGAGAACTGCACAGCCTCATCCAGCTCGTTTAGCAGGCTGACGTAAACACTACAGAAGCCCTGGTTGTTGGGGGGTGCCTGGTCCGTGGCAGAGATGTTCATCAGGTAGCTGGTTTTGGTCTCGTAGTCCAGGTACTCGATCGTTGTGATGAGGCCCGTGCTCTCATCGATCTCAAACTTCCCTTCTGCGCCTGACAGGATTTTGTAGTTCACCAGACCACCGTTCCCTGGGGCAGGAGCAGGAACCACAGCGCTGGTTGGGCCAAGCATCCCGAAGAGCCAGGCACTACCGATGCTGACCCCGACCCTGGAGCAGAGCCCATCCCACATGGGGATTTCAGCCCAGCCAAGCCAGGATCTGTGTAAAGGCTGATTCCACCACTTTCCCCAACAAGTTGGGTGTTTCTGTAAGTTCACCCCCGGCTTCCTACCTGTGTCTCGGTCGGTGGCCCGGACCACTGCCACTGAAGTCCCTATCCCTGCCGTCTCCCGCAGCCCCAGGCGGTTGTACTGCCGCTGGGTGAACACTGGCACCTCGTCATTGACATCTTCCACATAGATGATCACCTGCAAAATCCCCAGAGAAACCCCAGGTGAGCTGGGCAGGCTCGTGAACACTTGCCAGCTTCTTACCCTTGTGAGGGGACACATATCCTTCGCAGCACTCGTCTGCTGCACAGGGGAAACATCATCTCTGCTGCAAACACCACATGATGGAGAATGAACATGCACAGTTTGACATCATAGAGTTAAACAAGACCTGTGGTTGTGGTGACTCAGTCCTTCCTTGGCTGGAGGGAGGTGATGTCTGTATATTAACTCCTCTGTGCTTTGGGATGCCCTGCTCAAAACCTTGCAATTAGAGACCCCACAATGTAGAAACGCTGACGACTCAGTGGGAGATTTTGCTCAAAGTTCAGTGAGTCACGCTGCTGTTTCCCCAGGGAACACCCTTTCTCCTTCTGGTTTTCTGCTTGCTGCTGGTGCTGCGGGCACGTCACACTCGGCCAGAGCCCACCCCACCAGTGGGTCTAAAAATAGATACAATCAGAGGGCTGGGTTTATGGGAACCGTGGGAAGCTGGTGTGTCACTGCTAAAGATTATTGCCACTGGGTTCTGGCTTATTTACATAGATGCCTGTCCAGGAGACACATTTTTCAACAGGCTGAGGCTCAGCAATTTCTCGTGGCAGCTGAATCACATCAGACCAGACTCCCTCCGCCAGCGACTGCTGCACCACTTAGCAGCCTCATTGCACCAAAACGTCACAGCAAAAAAGAAAAACCCAACAACCTCCCTCCAACAAGCTCTTCTCCACCTACAGACAGCCCCTGCAGACTTTCCATCAGTATTTCCATGCTAGAGCTCTCAAATTTCTGCACGCCTGCAAGAGCTGGAAGTGACTGCCTTCTGATGAAGCGTCCCAAATATTTTGCATGGCTGACCAGCCTTGCTGCCCACCCCTTGGTGTCCATAAGGCCCTTACCCGCACGGAGCTCCTCATGGGTCCCTGCTCTGTATTGTAGGCCTCCACCTCCAGGATGTGAGAGGAGTTTTGCTCCCTGTCGAGGTGCCGCACGCCTCGCATCACCAGCCCGGTGCTGGGATTGATGCGGAAGTTGTTGTGCTCGTTTCCTGGTGGGGGGGAAAAAAGCAAGATGGATGCTGCTCACTGCCACTGCATCAGTCCTGGTGACATGCTGAGTCCTCTCCAGGGGACTGCCTTGGAGGCAGATTATTGAGCAAAACCCAAGTCCACATCACCTTCAGCAGAGTTTAGTCCTTGTCAAGCCAGGACCCAAGGTATCTGGGTGTTCAGTCATGACAAATCACCCCCTGGCAATTAACCTTAATGCTGAAGTTTTGCTTAGGGGTGGGGGAAATGTTTCTGTGGGCTGCAAAGTGCAAAAGCATGGAAAGCACAACTTCAGGAGGCTGTGCATGCGGCTAGCTGGAGCCTGGTGCAAACCCATCAATCCACGAAGGGGCACCTGGACTTACCCTTGACAATCCTGTACCACACTCTCCCATTAATGCCTTCGTCCACATCTGTGGCTTTCACCTTCATGAGAAAACAAAAGCAGTGAAGGTGAAGAGCAGAGATTTCCAAACTACAACAAGTTCTCCCACCCTCCTGAGGCTGGAGATCCTGCTCCTTCACCTGAGCCAGGGAGCTTACCAACTGCAAAGTAAAATACGTCACCCTCCCCTCATCACTGGACAGCAGGGGTAGTGGGCTTGGGAGCCCTCATCTGCCAGGTTAGCTGTTGGATAGGCTCTGAATGAGAGGTGAGCCTGAGGACCACTCCACGAACCCTGCGGGTCGGTGCACTGGTGGAGGTCTTGGCATGCACACCGATGTTTGCCCTGTTGGAGATGCCTCCGGGGATGGAGCCTCCCTGCCTGCAGAGCTGGCTTGAGCTGGGCAGGGAGAGCTGCTCCTGCAGTGGGCATGCAGCCCATGGCACCAGGGCAAGTCACCCAAGCAGCAGCATAAAAAAATTACAGAAAAAAACATGAATGCAACCAGCCTAGAGCATGTTGGTGGTCTGGACACCGGGTTGAGTCCTCGCAAGAGCCGAGCAGTGGGTGGGAGCACCCCTTAGCTGCGATGCACTGCACAGTCCATGCACATATCAAATGAGCTGTCCGCCCAGGAAACCCAAGACACGGGTCCCCTCTGGTGTTGCTGAACAACACTGCAGTGCTTTCCCCGCAAACCCCAGCTGCCAGCAGCCCGCCAGCCCTGGCAGCTGGGAAGCGGGACCCAGTGAGGAACACTGGGGCCTGGGTTTGCTCCCCAGCTGGCATTGATCTGCTGCATCTCCCCTCTGCAGAAACCACTTCCCTCAAAGCATCCAAAGCACAACTGCAGCTGTGGCCACTTGCGAATCACCAGGGCGAGGACGTGGGGAATGCCTTAGCCTTTATTCTCTGCCTGCTTCCCCTGGCAAGGAACCTTCTGCCCCATCTTCTCCCCACAAATATTACCCAGGAGTTTCCCTTTCCCAGGCAGGAGGTGGTTTGCACCCAGACGTTCACTGAAAAGAGGAGGGGGTGCCGCAAAAGATGCACATGCAGCAGGAGCAGTGAGGCCATTTATAGGGGCTCAGCTTTAAAGCCCTGGGCTGGCTTTCACCCACAGCCCCACAGAACACTTGCAGGAGCCAGAGCTGCTCTTCTGAAATTCAGTTTTGAGATACCTTGAACTGCTGTGGTTCCCTTCCACCAAATCAGCCTGTGCCAGCAGAAACCTTAGAAAATGCTGACCCCTGCACTTGCAAACTATCTGGATTCCCCACCCCTGTGCCATGTACACTGTTTTCATCTATTCCAGACCAGTTCACATCTTGCTTATGGCCGGACACAACCCTGTGCCTTGCTCCATGTTTCACCACGGACCCAGCACCTTCCTTTCATAGCAGAGAGCTCTCCCTCCCACACCATCTCTTCCACCCTCTGGGCTCCCCAAGGCCATTTCTGGGCAGGAGCTGGGCTGCCTCCTCTCCCATGTGATGGATGGGTCCCGCACCAGCAGGCAAGCGGTGCCCAAGCAGACCGGCTGCCTTGGCATGGCACTGGCTCCCTCCTGGGAAAAGCTATATCATCAGCCAAAATACCATGCCAGGGCAGCAGTGGTGTAAGGGAAACCTAAGGGATGGGAGACAAATCTTTGCAGCTTTTTTTTTTTTGCCATTCCCTGCCCCGCTGTGCCCAGGAAAATGCATTTCAAGGTAGAGCAAATGGGAAGGTTTTCAACGTGATGAGAAAATTGCACCCTGCAAACACACCCTTAGCCATCCTTTTCCCATATCACCCCAAGCATTTGCTTCAGGCAGATCCAGCACATAAACCAGGCAAAATGGGTCTGCCCAGGTATTTGTTTTTCATGAAAAAAAAGCAGCTTGCATTAAACCAATGCATGCTCCTGCCAGCCTGCAGCCTGGAAAAAGCTCAGCTGCTGTTGGTTTGACCCACTGCAGCCCCAGAGGAGATGTGGTACTTTGACAGACTGTCCCAAACTTGGGGAAACAATTACATTCAAGTGCAAGTGGTGGGAGAAAAGCTCTTTCTGCTGCAGGTGCAGGGCACATTGTGCAGCCAAGCATGGGGTGCCTCCAGCCTGCTTTATCCTCCTGCTAGAAAAAGCAGGCTGCAGGCAAAGCCAGCCTTTTGCAGGCAACCTTTCAAACACCCCCAGCTGCTGGAAAGGGGTCAGAAAAGGAGGAGGAAGTGGTGGAGGGGGAGTGGAATAAAAGGTTGGGAAAAAAGTAGGCAGTTTGGTGCAGAGTTGCTAGGAAAAGAGTAAGCAGGCAAGCAGAGGGCAGCCTCTTCACCACGGGGGGCTCAGCCCACGACTGTACCATTCAGCTATCCCACAAAGCCTGGGGAAACACGCCCCAGGGGGCTCGAGCCCTCGCCCCAGTTGGAGCACAGCCCCTGGGCACCGCTGCACTGGCAAAGCCCAGGAGGGCACTCAGGGCCCCCCTTGGCTTTACATGCTCAGGCTGTCCCCAGCCTGGCTACCATCTCTCTCCCACCCTCCCTTGCCCTCCAAAAGAGAGCAAGAGGGCTGGCAGCCAGTAGACCGTGGTAGGAGAAGCAGCAAGGCAGGCGTGCAGGAGGCAAAGCCGCAGCTCAGCTGGCTGGTGAGAGGTAGGGAGCCCAAACCCCATGGCAAACCCACTGCTGGCCATTCAGGCTGGCCCCAAGGGGCGAGCAAGGCAGGCCAGGGACATGCTGCTGTCCTTGGCTGCAGAGCTGCTGCCCTCAGCCCTGCAGCTGCCCAGGGAAAGGGTTGTAAATGGGGTGGGTAGGGGAGATGCAGAATTTCGGGTGGGTGTGAAGGCAGGCAGCCCTCCTCCCTTCCTCGTCATGTTGCTTTGTCTGTCGTGGTGATGGGAGAGGGGGAAAGTCCTGTGGATGCAGAGCTGCCTGTTAACAGAGAGGGTGATGGGGTACAGCATCATCTATAGCCCTTTGCTTTCAGTACCCAACTATCTGGGTTGGTAAACTGGGTGTTTGGTACCCTCCAGCACCTCTGACTCCTGTGAGCAAGTGGAAAGACTCAGTGCATTGGAAAAAAGTGGGGAGCTCCAGAAAAGCGTCGCTAAGCAAGACAGGGAGGGAAAAGAGAGCTGCTTTTCATCTGAGCTGGGTTACAGTCACAGAAGTGCCTGTAAAGCAGCCTTTTCTTTGCAGGAGTTTGAGAAAAGGGAGGGAGAACATATGGAAAAACTCCTGCCAAAGTAGGCAGCTGGGCCAGGCCAGGCAGGCAGTGCCCTGTGCTGGGTAGAATAACGTTCTCTGCTGCTCATGCACAAGAATTATTTCTTCTTCCTTTCCACCTTCCTCAGGAGCATTTTGCTTTTTGCAGTTTGTCTTCTTTCCCTCTGATCCTTGGCTGACTCGTGTCCCATGCTGGGTCCCGAGCACTCGTAAGTATCTCTCGTGTCAGAGCTGATCAGGCAGGGTTGACACTTCTTTGGGGATCTGTCAGCCTGGGCAAGCCTCTTATTAACCCAGCTGGTCTGCACAACGTGGGGCTTGGTAGGACAGCGATGCTGAGAAGGTGCGATGCTACAAACAGGGATGTGGGCAGCAGCTTGGCTGGTGGGTACAAAATGCTGCGGGCAACTGGTTGGTCTATTGCCCCACTTCAGGAAAGGCACCAGCCTCCCACCTCATGGGAGGGAAGCCCTTGTCCATGTGCATGCCATGGGCACAGGGAGCGCTGCTCTGATCACACCCTGATGTTTCTGCTGCCAAGTCCCCAATTTTGGTGGCTTTTTGGTGAAATTCTGCTGAAACCACCATAGCTCTGTCTCAGGCAGGTGGTGGGGGAATCCCCTTTGTCCACATTAATACATTGAAAACTTACTGGTCCTAAAAAAAAGGTCACCACTCATGTGTACTCTGCAAAGATTTCCCAGACTTTTAGTGGCTCTTTTTCTGGAAGGACTTAAACAGTGCAGGGGAGCCTGGACCTTCCCTGAACCCTCAGCTCTGCTAGCCGAGCTGGGTGCGAGGAGAAGATGGATGGGAAGCAAGAGGAGAAGAGGGCAAGGCTGGAAAAGCCGGGGAAGACATCAGTGTGATCCCTCCTGATGGGTTTCTAAGGGACACAGCTGGATTTAAAAGGAAAACACTACAGCCACCACCAACGGAGCAAAAAACAACCTGAAAAAATTGCCCATGCCTCCCAGCTCACTCTTAATGAACAATATAAGGTCACCAAGCCAAACCACATGCAGTCAGCAAATGCCAGAATTAAGGTAGCCTGGGTAACCTTGATTCAGGCTGTCTTTGGTGTGCATAGTAAGCAGCAACCTTGCCTGCTGGTTTTCACACCCAGGCAGTGCACAGGAGAAGCCTGCCCATGGAGCAGGGGGGTCCTTGGGATGGCTGCGGCTGTCAGGGGCTGCCCTGCTCCCAAAGCTGGAGGGGAAGAGGCTGAGCCAGGCAAGGAGAGGCTGCATGATAAAAAAACCTTTTGAGTTGAAGAGAAGTGGAAACATCACTCTGGAGGAAGGGACGAGAGCCGTGGCGCCTGAGCCTGCTTGCAGTACACACGTGGATTCACCTGAGATAAGGTGTTCTCAGATGCTGACCCTTTTATTTTTGCATTTTCAATTTCCTGAGCACAGGCCTGGCTCTGACCCATGGAAGTGGCCACATCTTCCCAGAGTGTCCGAGCTCTGACCAGGCTGATACAGTCCTTGCCCTCAGGCTGCCAGCACCACAGCTTTGAAAGTTCAAGCCCAGGTGATGCAAAGTATTCCAGAAATGAATCACAACTCCCAAGTGCCTCAAACCTAGTCTCCAACTCTGGTGGAAACCTCTGACCTTATTCCCTCCATATCTCAGCTCACTGCCTGCAAGGGGAGGAGCATGGATCCTGTAGGAGTGATCTGTCCCGAGGCAGGGTCGAGGCAAACCGGAGGTGGAGCTCACCTACATAACCATGTATAGCTGGGGCACAGACAACCCAACCTCGAGGACTCCTTAACCTCTGAGCACTCGGCCTTGCAGCACTCACAGTATTTGCTTAAGGTTGTTTCCTCCTGCGTAATTTGGACAGTGAGCGATGTTTGTCTCTTCTGACACAGCATCTTGCTTCCCATTGGGCTCGTCTCCACTGGAGCCTCTCATAGTTTCCAGTTAGTGATTAAAGACATTTCACTGATGTCTCTTCTCCCCTTTTTTGAATGCTTTACTGGTGAATGACTGTCTGCTGCCTATGCAAACCTGCATGGGTTTGAGATGGTGGCTGCAAAAGCAGACCCAGAGACCCTGGCAGTTCCTGCAGCCCTGCCTTTCCCCTTCTAAACTCTTAATTTTAAATTGGCTCAATCCAAATCCATACTTGCCAGGAGACTGCCCGGTCACGGACCGGTCTAACAGTCCTCCATCACTCTTCTAACTCTCATATCTATATAGGAAAGTCAGCATAATAAATGTTTACCTCCAGCATACAGGCTAGAGCACCAAGGGCCAAGCCAAGCTGTGGCGTTGCAGAGGGTTGGCACAGCAATATTTCCCGAGCCCTCAACTCTGAGCTGGGGACATGCTGGCCTCAGAGATAGCCTGTCCAGGGCCGGGAATGGGTGCAGGAGGCTGCAGGGGAGCAAAATGCCCTGGGGATGTGATCTGGGGGGGCTTTGACCTAGTGGGGAAAGGAGTGGACAGTTGCTATCAGGTGTTTGGTATGAGCTTTTACTGATGAGGCTTTGGAAAGCTGGTTTGCATCACTGCAAAGCTGTCTGAGAAACCTGTGACGTGTCTGAACCTGTAACTAACTCAGCAAAATGCCTAACACAAGAGGATTTTTGGCACAAGCAGGGTGAAGGCGTTACACTTCACCCCTGCAAAAAAGAGGAAGTCAATGCTAGTGCAATACTGCAGCTCGATGGGAACTTATGTGGGTGGAGGTTCAACCAACTATCCATTTCCTTTGGGGGAGAGGGAATAATCAAAAAACCCCAAATGATAGTCAACTCAACAAACCCACATTTCTGGGAAACAGAGAAGAACCAAACCCCAGCAGCCTCGAGGGGAGGATTTTGGACCTTCTCTAGTGTATAGTTATTTATTGCTCCCAGAAAAGTGTTGTGCAATGTGTGTGCATGTTCCCTACAGGTGCCATCACTGGGGCCGTGGTACCACACGTATGTATGTGGTACTACCTGTGCGAGATTTCTTTGCCAGATGGTTTTGCACTTCAGTTCAGGGCAGTACTTTGCAGATATAAATCCTATTGCTATGCTTTGCTTGCTGGCAAAGCAGACAGGCTCCTGTCACCTTGTGTCACAGAAAACATGGCCAGGAGGACCTTGGACATCAAAGCAAGCCAAAAATCCATCAGGTTGGACAGAGAGTGGCTGTCTGTCCAGCTTCTAGCTGGTAATCACAGGTGTTGCTTCTCTGTGTCACCTTGTGCACTGCAGGGAAGATGAACACAGAGGATGCTGGCAATGGGAGCTCTCCCACTCCACCTCTCCTTGGGCTTCTGGTTTCAACCACCAAGCTGGTCCCACCCAGTCCTGCATCACCCGAGAAGGCAGACCCACTGTCTGTCACCATCACGCTTGTCTGCATCTTCCTCCTCCTGGCAACCTTCCTCATCATTTTGACGCTCTGCAAGCCAGCAGCGCTGGACCAGTCCTGTTCAGAGCCCCGCGAATGCATGCCCCATCACCCGGCAGATGCCAGCGAGCCCCAGCTGAGGCTCTGGAAGCGTTTAGGCTCCCTGCGCTGCTCCATCAACACCTTCAGGAGGAGTCGGCCAATGTCCCACAGCCAGCTTGCCTGCCCCAGGAGTTCCCTCACCAGCCAGGACTGGGATGTCATGGAGTCCACCAAAATGCGATCCTGCTCTGCGGGAACTAACTCACCCTGCACTGCTATTCTTTCCCAAGCTTTTGGTTCAGGCTCAGTTCTCTCCTCAAGCAGCCCCTGGTATCCCGGCCATCCTGGCAGGGCCCCTTTGAGCAGCTCATTTCCAGGCAGTGGCTCTGCAAGGTGACAAGAGATTTTGCTATTTCAGGTTCCTGAACACTTTCCAGGTTACTGCTTCCTGGCAGGAAAGGTGGAGGCATCCGAACTACATCCACACGCAGCTATCACCAGGCAGTCCAAAAAATATCGCTGCTTAATTTCTTTGGAAAATGTTGTACAAGTTGTGAGGCACCTGAACAAACAGCTTGGGCAAGAGCAGAGCAACCTGGCTGCCTAACAAATACTGCCTCAAAGACAAGCATCCCAGGGCAAATGTGCTCCACAAAAAGCAATCCTCAGCCGAGACTACCCCCCAAGATGTGCTCCTTAGTAGGTGGAGGGAGGCTTGTGCTTGCTGTGTGCTGCCTGGTCCCTGTCTCCCCTCTCCCTGTGCAACAAGCCATGGGTTGCTGCAGTGGATGCTTGGAAGGATGTGTGGTACAGCTGCCTGCTGGAAACCTGCTTCAATAAATGAGCAGTGGGAGCAGGTAAACACGCCTGTAAATGCGTTAAAGAAGCCTTCTGAGGCTCATAGCTGCTGCCAGCTTGGAAAAACATCGTGCAAAGCTGAGCCGCTCATTTCTGCTGGGAAAGTGTACAACAGTCAGCAGGTAAGCCGATGTGCTTGAAGAAATCAGTAGGAAAAAGAAAAAGTGTGTTAATTCTTCCAGGTCTGAAGCTTGCGCTAAGCTCAGCCATGGAATTCATCCCTTTGGGTGAAGACTCCATGCCCAGCGAGGTCCCATGGCAAGCACCAAATCCCATCTCTCTGGGTTTCACACAGTTTCTGACCCTTGTGGAATGCAGCTCTGCATCAGGACCTCCCTGGGCTGCCTGGGACATTC